CTTCACTCCCACCAGGACTGTCACCTTTGTTGCCCAGGCTGGAGTGCAGTAACTATTCACAGGAGCAAACACAGGCTACACTAGTCTGGGAGCCCATGGGGAACCTGGCAGTTGTAACTGCTCTCTCTCCTTAACTCTTGCAGCCAGCACAGGGCCTGTATTCCACAGGCACCCACGGTACATGCTAAATGAGTGAGTGAGTGAACTAATGAATGAATAATTCATTGGGAGAAACATCAGCAGAAACAGACAGAAGGAGGAAGGAAGAGAAATGGGAAAGAACACAAACAGATGGAGACAGACGGAGACTACAAGCACAAAGACAGAAGGAGACAGAAAAATGAATGAATGAATGAATGAATGAAAAGATGAAAACAGGCTACTGAAAAAAATTTAAAAGCTAGAGAAGGCCCTGTATGATGACTTGTGCCTACAGTGCCAGGCACTGAGAAAGGAGAACCACTTGGCCCAGGATTTCAAGGCTGTGGCGCGCCATGATCCACACCTATGAATAGTTCCTGTACTCCTTACCTGGTCAACATAGCCAGAACTCATCCCTAGGAAAAAAAAAAAAAAGCTAGAGAAACCCAAAGAGATTCAAATCAAAACCCATGGGTTCTCACCTTAGTTTCCCTGGCAGCTCTGCAGGGCTTTGTTGGGCAACGGCTAGACATCCTGCTTGATTTCACCAGTGCTCTCCTGGGCAGGGGACACTGTTGCCCCCTTCCCCCATGCATGCTGGGTGGAGTCCTTCTCCAGAACTTTGACGTTGGGCCCTCCCCCTCCCACCTAGCAGGCCCCAGCCAACAACTATGCAGAGCCTCTCCACCAGGGCAGGCCCTGGGATGACATCCCTCGCCTCAGCTGGTCTTGGTGGTCTTATTCCCGCACTAATCATGCCCCTGCCTCCTCCAGCTCTGGCCCCTGAGTTGGAGGATGGGTTGGAGATGGGGACAGAGCCATGCCTATACCAGATTCTCGGGAGGGAGCCTGATGCCTCCAGGGAGCCAGGCCCTGCTGCCCAGAATGTGATATCAGCTCTGGTATTTCCAATTCCCCCAACCATGGAGGAAGGGGCTGAAGAGCTAGGAGTAGGAAGTGGCCAGAGTCACAGAATTCCCCTGGGTCCTAGAGAAGGGTGGGTTCCTCCACTCTCACCCCCACCCATCTGTCCCTGGAAAAGCCTCTGACCTCATCACCCCCACTTCCGGGCTTCTCAGGAGTTCCAGCCCTGAAGACAGACACTTCTAAACCAATGGGCCCCAACCCCCTCCTCGGCCCCCTCCTCACTGCCTTGGCTCTGGGGAGGAGTCCCCCCTGCCTCCCCCACCATTGCTCCAGATGTGGCTGCGGGGGAGGAGTGGGCACAGGGCCCAGCTGGCAGTGGTCACTCGGTGGTCCTCTTCCTGCACAGTCAGCGCTTTTGGTGCCAGCTCGCCCGGCCTCCTCACTCAGCACTTCCTCCAGCCCACTTTCCAGAGGCAGCAGCTGGGGCTCTGATTCCCAGTTCAGCACAAATCCCATCAACAGCCTTTCCTTAACTACCACCCAGGTGCTCAGGCCTGCCCTCCACAGTCAGGGACCATGGAAGAAAGGAGATACCCAGCAGGGCACAGTCTAGGAGATAGGTTAGCAACAGGGCCAGTTCTCATCCCTTCCCCCCAAACCCAGCAAATTCTGAGCCCTGGTCCTTTCCTCTGCAAAGCTGTGGGGCAGCTCCTGCCCCTCCTCTGCTCCCAACCCCTCTGCTGCTCTGGCCTGCTGCTTCTCATTCCCCCATGGACTTTCTAGAGCCTCGTGTTTCCTGATGGAACAGGATTGGAAGCCCCAGCAACACATCACTGAACACACAGTAGGCAGTTAATAAACTTATGTACTATCAACATCTGAAGAGTTACCTTGAGACTAGTTCTCAGTGCCAGGAACTAGCAGCAAGCCTCAACCACATGCCCAGGTCTTGAAAATGTGTGAATCTTTGCGTGAATCCCAGGGTCTAGGGACAAGGTTAAAGGAGGATCTCCCCCTTCCCCCAGACTGCTGTGGCCCAGCCCAGCCTGGTGAGTCTGAGCCCTCATTTGACCCAAGCTCTGCACTCTTCATAGCCTGCCCAGGTCTCTTTTAGGCCACCACTCTGCAGGCTGCAGCCTAAGGATCCCAGGAGACCTCTTGCTTCTGAGGCCAGGCCTTGCCCTATATACAGAGAGGTGGCAGCAGGCAGGCTGTCCTGGGCCCATGGAACTGCTGGGTCTGACCCAGTTGGGTCCTGTCAGCCACTACCAGAAACCTAGACTGAAGCAGAAGAGGTCAGAGGGAGGGAGATGAGAGGAGGAAACAGATGGGCCTCTGGGATGTGGCATCTTAGGCCCTAGCCTGCACAAGGTTCACCCTGGGTGAGGAATGATGTTGAAAGCAGAAACAGGAAAGCAAAAGAGAAAAGGGGGTTTGCGGGGGTCATCTTCAGGAGATTAACCTCTCCTTTCTCTCATGAGTTAAGAGGGAAGAAAGAAAATAGTGGCCACATGTCTGGCACTATGCTGGGTACTTTTCATAATCTTTTCATTCCATCCTCCCAAATATGCCACAAGAAAAGTATTCTCACTCCCCAAGTCACAGACAGGTCTCTGAAGCTCTGAGAGTATCACAGGCTTTCCTGTGGAGTTGAGGGGCCAGGCAGGGACCCTGGCTCAAGTCCTCCTATGGACCCCAGGGCTCCAGTCTCAGCAGGGAGGGTTGGCAGGGCCTCGGTCCTGGCCTGGGGAAACTGTGCAGAGGCCCAAGCTATGTTCAGAGCAGAGTTTATTCAAACAGAGCCTAACAGGAAACTTGGCTCCTCCGACTCTCTCTCTGATTCGACCTTATTAAGAAAAAAGAAAAGAGAGCAGGAGCCAGCATCGGGTAAGGTTTCGCGCCAAGAGCTGGCTCCGAGGCAGAGGCCAGCTGAGTGGGATAGCCTGTGCCCTGATCCCCCCATGCCCAGAGCTCTGAGGCTGTCCCCGCCCCTGTCTAGCTGGAAGAAAGGGGTCTTGCCCGCTTCACTTCAGAGCAGTGGGGCTACCCTGCCTCACAACCATCCTCTGCCTCCTCTTCACTCCTTTTCCCCTCCCTGTCTAGTGTACCCTGAGGCCTGTTTCCACTTCTCCTCCTCTCCTGGCTCTGCTGCCCATCTGGCTGTCAGGAGGGCCCTACAGGACCCCAGGGATTCCAAGCAGCTGAGGCCAACACTGCAGGGGGCAAGCAGGAGGGAGGGAAGGCTTAACCCTCCAGGTTCCAGCCCTCAATGAGCCCTGCCCCAGCATCTTGCTTGTCCTCAGCCACATCAGTCTCTCCTTGTAGGAATCCTGTCTGAGACCAAACCCCACACTGGGGAGCTGTCAGTGTTGACTGGCTGCTGGCCAGGAATAGTGTGGGAAGCTCCCCCACCTCCCTGCCTGAATTATGGGTATTTAAAGGGCAGGTATGCCCCAGATACCTAAAGAGTAACCTGCATCAAGCCTCATTCTTGAAGAACAGCTCAATGGGTGAACAAATGCTGCCTGGGAGTCTGGGAAGGGTATCCACAGTTCCCCAAAAAGGTCAACTCTGGCTGTCTCCTCCCACTGTTGGAGGAAAAATAGAGAGGGAATCTGTAGGGTCAAGTTAAGGGTAGGTTCTTCCTACCTTGTTTACAAGCACAAGAGGGAAATTTCTGCCCTCCAGTTCCCAGAAGCAAGGTTGGAGAAGGCAGCCCAGGGGAGACCTGAAGAGCAGCATTCAGAATGTTGGAATCCCCTCGGATCCAACTTGGATCCCCTCCTATCACTTCCATCCCCAGAGAGAACAGAGAATCTCCCAAAGCACTCTCAGGGATCACATGGTCTAATCTTCCATTGTTCAGATGTGGCAACTGGATCAGACAGGGGAAGGGACTTACCCAAGGTCACACAGTAACAGGAGTAGGCCAGATCGCCTGTATCTCCCTTTCTGCTGACAGGCTTCTCTGCCTAGCAGTGCCCATCCCATATCAAAGACAGTCCCTGGATGTATACTCAGTTTATTCCCAGACTATGGACAACAGAATCAAGAGATGCAGGACAGAAACAACACATAATGAGTTGATCTCTCCCATGATTTCACAAGTTTTTTTGTTTGTTTGTTTGTTTGTTTGTTTGTTTTGAGACAGAGTCTCCCTCTGTTGCCCTCAGTAGAGTGGGTAGAGTGCAGAGGCATTACAGCTCACAGCAGCCTCAAACTCCTGGGGCTCAAGTGATTCTCTTTTCTCAGCCTCCTGAGTAGCTGGGACTACAGGTGCCTGCCACAACGCCTGGCTATTTTTAGAGATGAGGTCCTGCTCTGGCTCAGGCTGGTCTCGAACTTGTAAGCTCAGGCAATCCACCTACCTTACGCCTGGACAGATTTCACAAGTCTCATTCAGCCCAGACATATACCCCATTCTTCAGAGTGGTAAAGTAGGGCCCAGAGGTGTGCCAAGAGCGAAAAGCTGAAGCTCTGGTTCTTTTATACTCAGGCTCAAGAAACTAAGGTGTTATCTAGGCTCCAGAGTTAGAGGGTGGACCCTGTTCAGCATCTCCCCAAGGAGGCCCACCAACAAGGAAGGTCTTCACAACAGCTTTGGGGAGCAAGAGAAAAGGGAACCCAAGAGTCTCAGGGAAGGGCTAGAGCAGACAGAAGTCAGGGATCCATTCCAGCCAAAATAAGAAGTCAGTGGTGGAGACCATGGATACTGTGTCCAAAGCAGAGAGGAATGGGCAGGGTGGTGCTGACACCCCAGCCCCATTCTGACTGCCAGAGCTCCACTTACCAGGTCTGAGTCCCCAGAGGCCCCTCCTACTCCCTGCTTTATTCTCTCCCTCAGGGGCAAGTCTGTGGCTTGGCTGGGAGCTCCAGGAACTGAGTGAGGGAGCACTACAGCTGTGGTACCCGCCACATAGCTAAAACCCGGCGGACCATAGGGCCCCGCGGAGGAGGCCCCAGCAGGCGGACCAGGCAGCCGCAACCTCCCCACGCTCCCAGCCTGTTGCTTATTCATTCAGAAGTGGGAAAGCGCCAGCCCAGCGGCCAGCCAGTGCCGGGCTGGTCATGTAAGGCCCTCAGGCGGTCCTGTCCGCTCGTGCCCTGCGGAGAGCCTCGTGCAGCGCTGGGCACCGCCCTACCCTGCCCTGACCCCTTGGCCTCAAAATGCTGTCATCGGAGGAGCCGTTCTGCTCTGGACAAGGCCAGGATGGACAAAGCTAAAGCCAGGGCAAGCAAGGAGCCGTCCTGTCCTCGAGGCCGTGAGGAAAAAAGCACGCACAAGAGGCCACTTTTGAGAACGTCTCTGTCCACCAGGCCTCTGCAGAGGGGCCACAATGGCTTTGGCCCGAGCCAGATGGCAGCTGGAGGCCCTGGTGTGGGGCGCCTGCCTGTATGTCCTGGTGCACGGGCAGCAGGCACAGCCAGGGCAGGGCTCAGACCCGGGACGCTGGCGGCAGCTGATTCAGTGGGAGAACAACGGGCAGGTGTACAGCCTGCTCAACTCGGGCTCAGAGTACGTGCCGGCCGGGCCTCAGCGCGCGGAGAGTAGCTCCCGAGTGCTTCTGGCCGGAGCGCCCCAGGCCCAGCAGCGGCGCAGCCACGGGAGCCCCAGGCGCCGGCAGGCGCCGTCCCTGCCCCTGCCAGGGCGCGTGGGTTCGGATACTGTGCGCGGCCAAGCGCGGCACCCATTCGGCTTCGGCCAGGTACCCGACAACTGGCGCGAAGTGGCCGTCGGAGACAGCACCGGCATGGCCCGGGCCCGCACCTCCGTCTCCCAGCAACGGCCCGGGGGCTCCGCCTCCTCGGTCTCGGCCTCGGCCTTCGCCACCACCTACCGCCAGCCGCCCTCCTACCCGCAACAGTTCCCCTATCCGCAGGCGCCCTTCGTCAGCCAGTACGAGAACTACGACCCCGCGTCGCGGACCTACGACCAGGGTTACGTATACTACCGCAGCGCGGGCGGCGGCATGGGCGCGGGGGCGGCAGCCGTGGCCTCGGCAGGGGTCCTTTACCCCTTCCAGCCCCGGGCGCGCTACGAGGACTACGGCGGTGGCGAGGAGCAGCCTGAATACCCGGCCCAGGGCTTCTATCCGGCCCCGGAGCGGCCCTACGCGCCGCAGCCGCAGCCCCCCGACGGCCTGGACCGCCGCTACTCGCACAGCCTGTACAACGAGGGCACCACGGGCTTCGAGCAGGCCTACCCCGACCCCAGTCCCGACGCCGCGCAGACCACCGGCGGCGCTTATGGCGGCGATCCCCGCCTTGGCTGGTACCCTCCCTACGCCAACGTGCCGCCCGAGGCCTACGTCCCGCCGCGCGTCGTGGAGCCGCAGCCCCCCTTCCGCGTGCTGGAGCCACCTTACCTGCCTGTGCGCAGCTCTGAAGCGCCCCCGCCGGGTGGGGAGCGGAACGGCGCGCAGCAGGGCCGCCTCAGCGTGGGGAGCGTGTACCGGCCCAACCAGAACGGTCGTGGTGAGTATGGCCCGCGACGCCCCGATCCCCTCTGTCGTGCTCCTGGTCGCTGGTGGACTTCTCGAGGCGCCCTTCTCGATCGTTTAGCAAAGGTCTCCCTTGCGCTGCTAAGTAAGGACCCCCCCCCAACCCACTCATCTCCCCAGCCAATGGCCCCATAGCATCTCCTCTCCCTACCTCCCAAAACCGCATCATCACTGCTAGGGGCTGGCCAGGCAGGTAAGGGCTCTGACTCTGGCCTTGAGGGTAGGAGGCAGAGGGACCGGCTGGGCTTTGGGAGGAGACAGCTTACTGACCTGGTTTGAGGGTTAGGGAACAGAGGGAAGGAGCCATTCTCTTCGCCTTTCCCTCATTCCAATCAGGGCACCCTTTTCCACCCCTGGAGATGCCCATTTGCCCGCCCACAGCGTGAGGTAGGGAGCATCGGAAGCTGGAGTCTGCAGGGGCAGCAAGGAGAGGTGGGGCAAGTCTGGTTGGTTACCGGGCATGTGAACTTGGCCTGAATGATCAAGAGGTTTACAGGGAGCCTTTGCTCCAGGCAGGAGTCTAGACTAGAACCAGAATTCCCTGAGGGGGGAGTCTGAAAGGCCAGGATTAGAGAGACTTTTGAGACACTGGCCTGGGCACAGACTCAAGAGGTACCCGAACTCAGTCGAGATAAGCAGTATCTTAATGTGTTATTTAAAAATCAAAATTAATGTAAAAAAATTGTGATGAACAAAATATTCAAATTTTATTTTATTATTATTTTTTGATGACCGGGTCTCATTCTGTCACCCACCCTGACAGGAGTGCACGGGCGCAATCACAGTTCACTGCAACCTCAAATTCCAAGGTTCAAGTGAACCTCCCACTTAAGCGCCACCCCCCAGTAATTGGGACTACAAATGTGAACCACCACGTCCATCCAAAATATTCAGATTTGAAATAAAATCAGTAAAAGTGCTATACTGAGTCATATTGGAGCCTGAGGCAAACTGAAAAATCATCAATATAGATAGATCTTGTGTTTATTTGAAATGTGGATATTTTGTCCATTACAGATTTTTTGCATTAATTTTGATTTTTTTAAATGTTGCATTAAATATTGTTTATTTTGTCCTCTGAGTTTTTTGAGCCCCCTTAAATTTAGTACTCCAGGCCAGTGCCTCACCAGACCCCTCCCATCACCTTGTACCTGGCCCTGGGAGAGAGTCCCACCAGTTAGCTTGGACAGATCTCCCTCTGGCTTCTCAGGGAGGGAAGATATGACCTAGTTTGGGGAAGGCCCAAGCCATCTGTCAGCGAGGACACAGTGGAGAGGGCAGCCTCCACACCTGCCATTAGCAGACTGAGCTTCTGTGGCAAGGAGAAGTGGTGGGTCTGGCTGGGGATGGACAGCCATTGGCCCATCCTCCACTGTGCTAGAATCCCCCTTCCTTTTTTCCCTGCGGGACAGTCAGCTTTTTGGTTGAGGTTTTCCACCCCTGCCCCACCTCTTTCAGGCTACAGTCAGTTCCCTCTACCTGTGATTCTCTGTTCCCCACCAAGGTTCCTGTGCCAGGCCCGGCAGGTAAGGGCCCCTGCAGGGCCCAAGGTTGCAAGTGCTACAGCCCCAGCCTCTGTCTCCAGCCAAGCTGACCTTGAGTGAATGGCTGCTGCTGGGGGTAGAGAAGTGTCTCCTGTCTCCCTGGGGATTGCTGAAGTCCCAAAGCCCGGAGAGAGGAGTGTGCCCACTGGTAGCACCTCCTCCCTCATATCAAGGGGCAACACTCGAGTTGGGTTCTGAATTCCACTTTGAGAACCTGTAGGAGCTCAGGGTGAATCAAATGATGAATCCTTCTGTGATGTGATGAAGGATCCACCCCACCTCTGATCCTAACTGGGAACTTGGGACGGCGCCTATGGCTCAGTGAGTAGGGCACCAGTCCCATATGAACCTGGCACTGGGCAAACTCCAACTAACTGGGAACTTGAAGGAAGTATCTTTGCTGCAGGGCATGTTACAGCCATGCATCAGCTGCTGCTAAAGCCCTTGGAGGAGAGGACATCTTACTTAGAGGGTGCTATACTTTCGTGGCAGCTTTTCTTAGAATACAAAACCTCAGCATGAGGCTCAGCTGGAAGGGCCCCACCTCTGGGCAGAGAAGAAAACTGAGACCTCAAATGCCACAACGCTGGCAGAGTCAGGCCTGGGATTCAGCACCTGGGCTCCAAGCCAGTGAGTTTTCTAGGGCCTCTCTTTGGCCTGTTAGTTCTTAACCAAGCCAGTGGGTATGGGGCAGTGCAAAGCCACATCTGGAATAGAGGTGTTTCATGCTTAGCAGGGCTTCTGGCCCCTGCCCCTCAGCCCCACAGTTCATTTTGGGTCAAAGACATTTCTCCCTGAAGGCAGTGTCCTAGGTGTCAAGTGTGCTGACTTGCATTCAATCCAGTCCTTGCCCTGAGGAAACATAGCAGGGGGGCAGCTCATTGCTGAGATGAGATAAGCATTGGCGGGGCCAGGGGCTTTGGGAGCCCAAAGGAGACTCCTCCTCAGTCAGGGGGAGGAATTCGGGGAGACTTCCAGAGGAGGAGTGTCCATGCATTGCTGCAAGGGATGGTGGTCAGCACCTTCCAGGTACCCCTTCCCCTAATCATTGAGGGCTAGGGGAAGAGTGGGGGGGGGCAAAGGGAGGGGGCAGCACAGGCTACTCTGGTGCTCATGAAGAGGCCAGAGAGGGAGCAATAGTCTCTCCCATCATTGGTATCTCCCTCCCCACCCTGCTAGGCAAGGACCGTGGAAAATCCCAGCCCAGGGAAGGCCAACCCTTGTACTTGAGATCAGACCCCCAGGCCTGGTTTGGGAGCCCAAGGCAGATTCTCCGAGACTGACTTCATTCCTCCTGGCCACACACTCAGGGGTCTGAGGCTGGGCTCTGGCAGCCTGCACATGTGTGTGGGCGTGGATGTGTCCTCACAACACCGAACACATGTGAGCGCCGCCCACATCCCTCCATGGGGGGGTGGTTTCCAAGTGCTTGTCCTGAGCCTGATTCTTCTTCTGGTGTCTGCACCCTCTTCCTCCCCCACCCCCATGCTGGGACTGCCCTAGGCTTCCCTCAGTACCATGTCTTCAACTCTGAAATGAGGAAGGGAAGGGATGAGAGGAGGAAACAGAGGCCAGCAGCCCAGGGGTCACATACTTTGCCTGGCTCTCACAGCAAATGCTCTAAAAGAGGCCTGAAGGGTAGCCGGCTGGTTCCCAGTTCCAGATGTGTCCCCTGTGCCGTAGCAGTTCCCACGATGTGACCTCTCCCTCTTCTACTAGTAGGCCGTCCTCTCCTGGCATCTTTGCAGTGGCCTCCCTATAGCCTCAGCTTCTCTGAGCTTTGGGTCTTAGTGCCAACTAAGAGAGATGCCCCTAGCCCCAGAAGGCCACAGTTCCTCTCCCAGGGCCTCCTCGTCCATCCCCCGCCTGACTCACCAGTTTTGGCAATCCTGTGAAAGGAACATGGAACAGCCTGCTCTGCCATCCTCCCAAGGCATCTCCGGTGGCTGTGCCAGCCTTGCTTGGCATGTGTCCTCCATTCCTGTCCTCACATGGCCAACTGGAGGCCAGGAAGGAACAGCAGCTCCTCCTCCCTGGTCCCCTACTCCTAGTCTCTCTCCTGTCCATTCTATGTGTGGGGCAGATAAACCCCTGCAGTGCTGACCAGGTTACTCCCCTGCTCAAGAAGATTTCCGTCTCCAGGGCCTTTAGGACAAAATATAAACATCTCAGTCTAGCACTCCAGAACAAAAGAACCTCCTTCCTTTCTTTTCCTCCTTCTTCTCTCAGGCCTCCACAGCTTCCATGGGGACTCTGGTGCTCCTGAGCCTAGATGTCACATATTCCTACATACCACCAAGGGTGTTTCATTCAGCCATCTGCTCCCAAGAGTTCAGACTGGGACCCTCAGACCCTGGGAGCAGCCCTGGCTCCCACTACCACCCCACTGAGCAGCTGAGCCACTAGCTCACTTGGGCCTGTGCCCCAGGCTACCTGCCTCTTCAGGTCAACTCTCTTCCTCTGCAGGGTTTGGAGTATGATTCAGGGAAGAAGCAAAGCAGGCCTCCACCCAGCAAGCTTCCAGAGTTAGAGCCCTAAGGCAGAGATAATAATACCAACTTTGACCGTTTGCTAAAGAGCACCTGCTGAGCTTGGTGACACAATTTCATTATTCCTCACAATCTCCTAGTGAGGTGGAGATTATGGTTTTTTTGGTACAGTTGAGAAACTGAGGCTTAGGGAGGTGGCCCAGCTGGGTGCAGCTGATCCAGAAAGATGCCATGCTCAACCTGTGACCCAGGCGGGGCAGGGCACGGGCTTCTCTGCCACTGGGCCTCTCTGGGCCTCAGCCCTTCCCATCTGCATGCAGATGGAGAATTACACTTGAATTTACCGTGCACTTTACCCATCAGCTCCTTTAATTCCCTGGGTGAGGCAGGTCCTATTATTTGTCCCATTTTATAATAAGGTGACAGGCTCACTTGCTGACTTTTAGTAGTAAAACCAGGATTTGAGTCTGTGTGAAGTCCTGTCCTAAGTTCTTAACAACCATGCATTATTATGTGTTATTGCTTATCCTGTATACTCTGTGGTTATTCACTTATTCAACAGTTATTTGACTGCTTACTTACTAGATTCCAGGCGCTGATTTTGACAGAGTGAGATGGGACAGTGCGTGGGAAACACTGGGAGCAGAGTCCCTCCCCAGAGTGGTGTTAGAGTAAAGCCTTATCATTCTCACTCCAGACTCTGGAACATTTTCTTAATCACTCGCACAGTGCTTACTAAGTGCCCACCACTGTTCTTGGAGCTTTAAAGTTAGAGCTACTTAATCCCTACAACAACCCTAGGAGGGAGGCATCACTACTACCACCATTTTGCAGATGACGGACCAAGGACCTGAGAGGTAAAGTGATTTGCCCTGGTGCCACAGATCAGCAACCCTCCTTCCTTCCCTGACGTTGTCTGAGACTGCCTCAAAATAAAATAG